AAAAAAAAAAAAAAGACTCAAACACGTACATGGCCATTCTTCCCTGAAGCAACGGAGATTAAGTGTAATTGCTCTTTCACGTAACAGATTTATCTAAAAGTATCCACAGCTCTTTCCTCTCCCCTTCCTATAAAACATGTCAGGACCCTTCCCCATCTTGGCTACTACCCTCTAGAAATACTCCAGCTGACAAGTGACCTTTTCAAGTACTCTTCACTGAAGTCTGAGCCCTGCAGATGGGATGGGACTATCACTCACCCTCTTTGCTTCCATTGACGAAACTGGATAAACATTCTTCAATATTCCTGACTCCCACTAATGAAATCCCATGAATCTCAAAGACCCATATTCATGTAACTGCTGAATCTAAGGCACAGCTCTGGGTTCCAAGGCAGGCAATATGGTATATCTGCCCAGAAAACACTTAACATTTAGGAGGCATGAACAAAATCCAGAACTTCCCACTTTTATCTCCATGAACTACTGTCAGGTCGGATGGCAGGCTCACCAAATCCTGAATTGGTATGACTGATTTTTCTGAAATGAAATGAACAGTTCACATATACCTTCTTTAACAAATGAATTTGTTTGGGCTCATAATTTCAATCTAAGATATTTTTGAATGCTGATTCTTTTCTCCAGTATGCTAGTCACCTCTTCTTTTTTAGCTTTAAGTGATGTCCAAATCTGACAAAACTAATTCTATGCCTTTATCCAAATTGATAAAGACTGTGAAAGGTATAGGTTGTGCTATGCAGCTTGAGACAATCCTACCAGGTCGACAATTCATTAGCTGATACCATTGTTTTCTCTTTTTTTATTGTTACTGTGTATTGCATCAGTCCCTCAGATTTTAGGAAATCTTGGAATATTTTAGAAATCCCACATTTAGCATCATTCTCTCCAGATTTATAGGGTTCCTTAATCTCTAAATTCAGATTACAATTTAAAATCTCTCTCTCCCACGTTCCTTTACTTCGCTCAATTAACCTTTACTCAGACCCTATCATGTGTGAGGCACAATGGTAGGTAGTGGGGACATAGAAAGAGACATAGACCTTACCCCTGGACCTCCACAGTCTAGTCAGGGAAAACCGACTCATTCACAAATAAAGGTGTTATCCTCCACATTCTCTCCAAGCCTAAATTGTGCCACAGAGGAAGAGAGAGTTTTGAAAGCTCTTCTTGTGCTGTCTTCTACCTCCCTCCCATTTTCCTCCCTTCAACAAATGTTCATGAAAACCCTATTATGTTGGGCACTGGGTATATACAATGATCCCAGCCCTCATTTACAGCAAACATCCTAGTCCTGGGAGACAGGTAGAGACAAATGAAAACAGCGCATTGTTAGCAGTGCTTGGAAGGAGACTGACAGGAGTGGAGCCACACAACATCACGGAAGAGCCCATCTTAGGAAGGAAAGTCACCCTTCATGGCCACTGGGTGCTTGCAGACACTTGTCGGCCTCTACTGAGCACTTGTTATGCGTTAGGCAACAGAGATACAGAGATGAAAGATGAAATCTTGGCCCTCTGGAAGTTTACAGACTTAGGGTGTGACTTGTCTAACACTCGTGACCTTGTGTGAAGAAATGCAGTCCAGAAGGAAGGAGTATAAAAATCAACCCCTGGAAAAAAACAACAACAACCTTTTTTTCTATCTGTGGTCACAGCAGGAGGTTCCTAAGAAGATAACTTCTCCCTTGCCCCATATTTCTTCCCTAGCTCACGTGCTAATGCTGCTGGAAAAAATGGTAAAAATGCTTTTCTGTGGTGGGGCTGGCTGATGGGCTTTTCTGTGGTGGGGCTGGCTGATGGGCTTTTCTGTGGTGGGGCTGGCTGATGGGCTTTTCTGTGGTGGGGCTGGCTGATGGACTAGAAACCACACTGGTTCTGACTCAGGCCTGATTCTTATAACAAAGTAGTCAGGGTCTCCCAGCTCCTAAGGTTCCCAAGATCTGCTAATCTCGGCAAGGCCCCTGGGGATCGGTAACTTTCCTCAGTCCCCAGCCCCCCTTAAACTATCCCTTTCCATTTCACCTCAACTGGGTATAGTTTTAAAAAGTCATTCATTGGGGCGCCTGGGTGGCTCAATTGTTAAGTGTCTGCCTTCGGCTCAGGTCATGATCCCAGGGTCCTGGGATCCAGCCCCGCATCGGGCTCCCTGCTCCGCGGGAGGCCTGGTTCTCCCTCTCCCACTCCCCCTGCTTGTGTTCCTGCTCTCGCTGTGTCTCTCTCTGTCAAATAAATAAAAAAATCTTAAAAAAAAAAAAAAAAGTCATTCATTCTGCCTGTTTATTCCTAGGACAAAAAGTTCAATATCCACTCTACCAACCAGTTGGCTTTGGGCACATACTGACACTTCAAATGGCAACACAAACCAAATAGCAACTGGCATCCCTTTGAGATCACACAGGTTAAATTATTCTGTAATTTCTCTTTTTACAGGCTGACTGACCGCTAACTAGGAGCTCCTAGAGGCAGCATCCTCGTCTTCCTCGTACCTCTGCCCTGCCCCCCACACCTGACGCTGTCTGGGACACAGTGTGCGCATAACAGGTGTTTGCTGCAGGAGGAAATCATCCCATCTCGGGGCTCAGTTCTGTCAGTCCTCTGGCAGAAAAGAAGTCAAATCAAAGACTGAAAATATCTCTAAAATGGTATCAATTTTCTTTGTAACCGTTTGAAAAAGCTAACTGGAATCGCCCCACCTGGAAATACAAAACCAGGGTAGAGAAACAACAACACAATGGCAGTTACCTCAAGAGGGTGGATGACATATTAACAACTGACTCTTCTGGGTTAATCCCATCTGATTTAGACAAATTCCCCGAGGAGGCGCCAGCCGCAGCGTGTGCCTAGCATCACTTGGTTTCTAACAGTTCCTACAGGGGTCCACTATCACCCATTCGTTCTTACTCCAGACCGGCTGCCAATCAAGAGGCTGGCGGCCGCCTGGCCCAAACAATTGGTCCCCAGAGGAATATGTGACCTAAGCCATGGCAAACAGAGATCGTCCTTAGGACTTTACGCACAGAAGCGGGGAGGGTGCTAGAAGACTGACAGTCCGTGGTGAAGCTGCCAGGTGGCAACAGAGGAGAGAAACGAAGTGAAGCAAGGGCAGAGAGATGACAGACACAAGCCTGCTGGAGTCCCTGGGACCCCTGCATTCACAGACCTCCCAGTTATGACAGCTGATAAATGTTCCCTTTTTGCTTATACCATTCTGGGCAGCTTCTATCACTTGCAAACAAAAGGCTCCTACACAGCATACTGTCCAGGTGAGCGAGTGCAGAACTTAAGAGGCAGCTTTCTTTGCAGGTTTTGCATCATAGTGGAATATAAATTATCACAGAAGAGAGGGACAAAGTCTAACCAAATGTGGTTGTCTGCATTCTCTAGAGGAGACTTTCTTTCCTTTGCGCTTTTATATGTGCAGCCCCGACCATACCCTGGCTATGACCTCTTTTCGGCTACACCCAGCTCTAATTATCTGAGCTCCCCCAGGTGCTCCTGAAAGATAAAATTTCAAGACAGTCTGGGCTTCCGATTAACTGCCAGAGAATGGTCCTCAGAATCAAAAGTTCAGAAGCAACGGTGCCAGAATTTCTTAATTGCCGGAAAGGAACATTTCCGAAACTTATTAAGAAAAAGAATACCTTCCACAAATAAGTCCTTTGATGGCCGAAAATTCATGAAGAAGTTGACAGTCTTCTGGCCAGGATGTTACAATCTAGAGGGTTGTAGGAGATTATTTTCCAGTGATATGAAAAACCACATATGCACACACCCCAAACAGAAACTTCCACAGCTTTTAGCAGCATAGATGTGATTGTGTGTGAGTGCCTGGGCCACACCATTTTCATTTTACTTATTTCTGTGGCTAGTTCCCAACATGACCTGGCCTCTTCTCTCTACTTAGCCCAAGGTAGGCAGCTGGATGGTGAAAGAATCTAATGAGGCTTTTTCACTGCAAGCCTGGAAGGCAGACACGAAGGATGACGGCAAAGGAGGCCTTCCCTGCTTTCCCCTGCAGACGCTCTACCTTGCCAAGGAGACAGGTTTCAAAGTCAGACAGTCCTGTATGTGAACCTGGAACTTCTTAGCTACATGATACTGGACAAGTTACTGAACCCTTTAGTATCTTCATCTGCAAAATGGATATAATATCACATACTTACATACTGAACACCAACATTACCAGGTCCTTGGCAAGGCTCCGAGGTTACAGAGAGGAGTAAAACATGGTCCACATACACATAAACAGAGAGTTTCAGCTGCACATGAGTAAGTATAATGATGAAGGATGGCAGAAGATTATATGCAAGGAGGCAGCCCACTGCTCTGAGAATTAATGAGATAATGGTATGCAAGGCACCGAGCACAGAGAAGGCACACAGGATAGATTCTTCTGATTCCCCAAGGCAGATGCGTGCTTCTAGATTTACAAAATGTTCTAAGATTCTGTCTCAGGGAGATACTGACCAAGGAATGATTTAGCTGGCTGTCAAGTATGAAAGTGGTTGAAATGGTACATGGTTGGTTAACATGTGGCATTAAGGAGAGTCCCTACTTGCCCTTCTAGGGACCTGGTACCTTCCCTGGGTCAGCTTCCTTCCCTTTCTTCTGGCTCAGGCTAGTGGGGGATTCCAGAGCAGAAGTGGGTTTTGGACAGTCAGGCTTTTTAGTGCTTTGCAAATCACAGTCACAGACTCTCCTTCCCAATAAAAATGAATGCTAAGATGCAGTGAGCATATTAGACATCAACACGAAAAAGCACAGCAGTGTCTCATCTAGCAGATTCTGGGAAGGGCATTACCCTTTGAAAAAAAGGGGAGATGGTGCTCCTTAGCCAAGAGCCTACATGAACTCATGAATTATATATCTGGGAGCTTCTTCACATTCCTCTTCCCTGCTGCTTTACAGGAACCATATTAAATTGAGTTACGTATCTCAGAGGTTTGCTTTGAAACACATGGGCTACTTATCATGTTACACTATTATAAGAACTTCTGAACTTTACAAATCAAAGAGAAGCCTGCACATGTGTTTTACCACATTTTTATATCCCAATGCTTGTCAAGTTTCCAACTTGCACCAGGCTGGCTGTTTGATTCATTCCTTGGTCACAAAATCATTTTCACTCTTTCATCCTCCCAAAACTATCTTGTCCCTTTCCTTTTCTTCACTAAGCAAAACTCCACCCTGTTCACAGCCTAATTTGGGTTTCTTTCAAGTGCCTCTGATGGCTTCCCTTTGGGGCATCCCTCAATACCATCCCCACTTCCAAGGGATTCATTACTGAAACCCTGAAGGTAAGGGCATGGATTTTAGATAAATTGCCAGTGCCTGGTATCAGCCCAATTCATGGCAGTAAGATTATATATATACATATATATATAATTTATTTATTTATTTATTTGACAGAGAGAGACAGCGAGAGAGGGAACACAAGCAGGGGGAGTGGGAGAGGGAGAAGCAGGCTTCCCGCGGAGCAGGGAGCCTGACGCAGGACTCAATCCCAGGACCCTGGGATCATGACCTGAGCTGGAGGCAGACGCTTAACGACTGAGCCACCCAGGCGCCCCTCATGGCAGTAAGATTAAAGTGAAAAACATACACACTGTGGTGGACAACCCACGAAAGCCCTATCCTTCTGCCTCCTGGTGTTCAGGCCTTTGTGTAAGCCCCTCCCCTGAATGGTGGTGGGACCTGTGACTTGTTTCTAATCAACAGAAGGCAGCAAAGTGATGGGATAGATGTGAGTGCATGTACATAGCTATTACAGAGAAGTGTAATGTCTAGCCTATGAGGAGGTGCTCTCCCTTGCTGGCTTTGATGAAACAAGTAGCAATGCTGGGGAAGGCCACATGGCAAGGAACTGAGGGCAGCCTCCAGTTGGCAGCCAGCAAGAGCTGAGGACTTCAGCCAACAGGCTGAATGCTGCTAACAACCACATGAGCTTAGAAGTGGATCCTGCCCCAGTTGAGCCTCAGATGAGAAAGCAGCCCCGGGCAGCACCTTCACTGCAATCTTGTGAGAGTCCTAAACAAAGAATCCTGCTAATCTATGCTCAACTGCTGACCCACAGAGACTGTGAGATAATAAATGTGTGTTGTTTTAAGCTCTATGGGCTATGCAGCAATAGATAACTAATTTTATGAACAAACAGAGAAAAAGTAAAGTATCCTCTGGCATCTGAAAGCCGACCTGGCATTCTCAGCAAGGCCTTGATGTTGCTGGGAGTTGCCCTGCACATACTTGGTCTTGGTGTTAAACACAGGTAATTCCAAAGAATGTCAACATCACACGAGGTCTTGAAGATGAAGGCAAAAACACGACCACTCTGTAATCATGTCTGAACATGGACAAAACCTAATCATTGCTCAAATCACAAAAATGGAACAAACATCCCCCTATACTGGCTAATATGAGTACACAGCTTTAACCCTGACTCATTACCCCATCTTTTTAATTTTTTTTTCATTCCTCCATCTTATAAAATTTATTTAGATGCTCATCTATAGAACTGCCCTTCCTTAAAACATCCAACACAGAGCAAAGCCCTACCTTCTTGGTCCTTCCCTCAAAACCCCTAAAACAAGCCCAAATCCCACAGTAAGTCTTTTCTAATGCCTCCTTACTGAGATGCCGTATGGCTCCCCAATGGTGCACAGTCTCCCCCGCCCAGCACCAACAATAAACCCTACTGTTCAACTACAGTTGTGTTCCTCATGGTCTCTGGTGGGAGGCCACTGATAAAACAAGAGCAAACAACAATGCAAACAACTGCAACAAAGCCAAACATAACGTCACCATGGAACTTGCATAAAATTAGAGGAGTGTAAACCAATAAAGTAAGAAACAGTCCATATACAGTTTAAATTAGACCAAAACCACAAAAATACAGTAAGCTATCTCTAAGTAAGTATAAAGAAATTATGAATAAATGGTATTAGGAGAGTGGACAGGAGGAGGAAAATTAGCACGGATCCCATTTTAGACTAAATAAAAGTGAACTCCACATAAGTTAAAGAATTAAACATAATCAGTAAAAGATGAACTGAAATGTAATGGATTACTTTACTAGATCCATGGAAAAATGATGACCCTGTCACCTGGAAACAGTAACAAAAAGATCCACTGATTTAGGTACAAATTCCTTGTTTATAATGAAAAGCAATTCAAAAATAAAAGAACAGCCAAGAAATACTTCTGTGATGAAATACATAAATACAGAATACAGACTATATACAAATTTACAAGAAAAACATCACATATCCAAAAGATAAATGAGTACAGGGAATAACAGACAATTTACATAGTAGAAAACAGAGTAAACAAAACATGCAACCATGGTCCAACCTCTTGGGTTCAAAGAGGTGCCATTTTATGGTACTAAAGTAGCAAGTTAGACAAATGAACAAAGTTGGAAATGTTGGGCCATGGTGAAGCCCCTTCACCACTGACAGTATTTTATGTTGTTACAACTTATTTGTAAAGCAACAAAGAGAGGTCATAACCCAACATCCAACTCCTAGGAAACCTTTTAGTAGAAACTATCTGCTCAGAGTTTACGACAGCATTATCCACAATGGCAAACACAAACAAAAGTCGAACAATAGGGAAATGTTTGAGGAATTGGGCTGTATTAACACATGGATTATCCAATATTCAAATAACTGCAAAGGCCAGAAACACAGAAAATGTTTAGGATTTGAAATGACATAAAAAAAAATGCAGACTATAAAAAAGCAAATGAAAGCGACCATTAGCTGAATAGCTATCACGTGCCAGACACTGTTCAAGGCATTTAGTCACATTTTACTTAATCTTCACAACACCCTGACAGCAAAGTAATATTATCCCCATTTTATAGGGGGAGATAGGAGGACAAAGAGGGTTTAAATAAATTGGTCAAGGTCATACAGCTAGGAAGTAGAGGAGACAGATAGGAACCAAGATATAACTTCAAATGCTGTCTTTTTAACTATATCACCCTACCTCTTTTAGATATACATGATGGCTGCAACTAGGAATAACCATGGATATGTGGGACAGACCCTGGGGGGTAATATGTAAATGTGAGATGACTGTGATATGGGAATAGGATTATTAGGATTTAATTTTAAAAATCATTACCTTTAATGCTGTATGATCTACATACATAATGCAAACAACACAGACAGTCAAGCAGTGAACTCTGGGCCTCTAATTCTTCATGAGAAGTTTAATTATATACGTCCTTAGAAAGAGACCTGTCCAAAACTACTTCTAATGTCACTCTCTTCTGGAAGAATGGAATGTAGGTAGAGAGTACAGCCACTGGTGTTGGGTAGAGATCACTGTACAAGGGTGAGGAGGGGAAAGTTCAGGGGATAAGAGAACCAGAAGGAGACATGGACATGCAGAGCTGACTAGGGAAAGAGGTAAGCTTCAGGACTCCCAGGCAAGGAGAGGCATACTACCAACAAAGGAGGGTCAGCCTGCTTGCTTTCCCTCTTAAAATAATCTGAGCTCCTATCTGCCTGCAGTGGGTAAGTATGAAGACAAAAGTCAGGGCCCCTGCAGTGAGTGCCCCATCTTCTAGTTGTCTTTTTTTAAAAACTGGATTCAGCAATGCTATGTGGCAACATAAGGGCAAATGTAGACTCATACTCTTGTCATCCACGTGTGTGCCGACCACAAATCAAGAAACTTTCTTCTTGGGGCAATGAATGAATCATTCTCCTCAACTACATTTTCAAGGCTTTTAAGCTGGTTTGTACTTTTAGGATTATCTAAGTCCTTTTCCGGTCAAATCTCTGAGGACACTTTGACCACAGTCACCTTTCCTGGGTGGCAAATTGAAACAGAGGACACTTTGGACTCTATGAAAGTTGGATTAGAAAACCCATAGTAAGAAGCACTGACTTGGGAGGGGGGGCATAGGGGAAACATGAGAATCGCACCCCCAGACATTCTAAGCCATTTTACTCACTGTATTGCTCAAAGACCCCTCACTTGGTGGGAGGTGACCATCTGCTGTGTTTACAGTAGGTCATAACTCTCAGTTTCAGGAGACATCCCTTCCCCAAGTACATCATCTGTACAAAATCACTTCAGAATATTGCACAGAGGGTCAGAGCAGAACTAATTTGTGGTCAAGGTTCTGAGACAGGGAAAGCAAAGCTGGATGTTTCAACAGACATCAACGTTTTAGGGGGATGGACTGAGTATGGCTGGGAAAGGAAGGATGTGAAACAATGCCCTGTAAATCTGATTTTACTGATACTACATCTCAGCCGGACCAGAATCAGTTACGTGCAAAATGATTAATCACTGTCTCCCTGAAATAGTCAAGGTCCTGCTGCCCATTCTTAGGATAGAAAAAAATCTAACACTGAAATATGACTTTCAGGCTTTAGTTCATTCTATACCCTTTTAATAAAGTGGAACAAAAAATTTTGCCTTGGGCTTGGCTGAGTTATGGGGTTTGTTTCCTAAGTGGCAAAGCTTATTCTTCGACCCAATCACCAAACTGAGCCCGAGTTATAAGAAGCCTGGTACAGAAGGAAAAATGTCTGTGCTATACCTCAGGAATCAATTTATCAGATGCGATCATTGCTCTGAGAGACAGGTTTTCTCTTTATATGTATAGAAAAATTGGCACTACAGAAGAAAATTAACTGAGCTAACGGGCAAATGCTGACGGCTTTGCATGGCATGTATGTTTCTAACAAATGTTGCTGCTGAATTGCAACTTGACTCCATCGATGATGCAAAAGGGTTTAGGGACACAGAACAAGTCCTGGGGGCATGACCTGAGGCAAAGACTCCAGCCGGGCCCCCACGTACCTTCTCTGCATACTCGGACACAATCTGCTTGATCTCAGCGGAGCAGAGTCCCACGATTTGGCCCACCGAGCTGGCGGTGAGGCGGCTCTGCAATCACAGGGAGAGGGGGTTCTAGGTCATGCTTGTCTTTCACAGAACCGGAAAATCTGAACGCTCTGAGTCGTAGAGCAAAAACAGATAATATTCCCAGGGGGAAGAATACTCTGGCTTTTGTTTAGGTATCCATCAACAAGGAATGGGGAAACAAGCCTTGGGACAAATGTTAAGCCATCTCTCTACCTTCTGAGTCATTCGGTTGATTGTGCCAGATTCTCCCTGGTCCCTGCGTGCCCCTGGGAGATCGTTCTTTACCCCAAATACCCCATCTCAGGGTCTCTTCCTCAGCATTACTGACAGAGCCTGTAGGGAACATGGAGGGCTGACAACTCAGGGGAAAAAGAAGTACAAATGGGAGAGGAACAGGAATCTTAGAACTCTCCAAATATCTTTTAACTACCAAAGGCCTTTCCTGCCCTAAAAAGGAGGGATCCTTTCAAAGCCCTTGGTGAAACCTTTTGGACAGGCCTTGAGCTCTGGAAGACCAACGATAAATGCGGTATTCTCTTTTCTACCCAGATGGCGTGGGAAGGAAACAGAAGACGAGGGCTCTTCTGGCATGGGTGGTTATGGAGAGGCAGGGCTGAACCACGGCTCCTCTATAGAGGGTAGAGGGACCCTCCCAAGGGTCCTTCCAGACCCCCAGAGGTTCCCAAGGATGGCAACGCTATGCACTGGCAGAAAGCTTCCTAAAAGAAAGACCCTAAGGAAAGAGGAAGCATTGAGTGCTGAAAAGACAGGGATCTGATGAAGGGGGTCCCTCTGGGAGGAGGCCCCCGGGGGCAGCGCAGGGCGGTTCCACGTCCCCACCTCCACACCGCGCCCCCCGCGCAGTCCCCCCTCACCTCCTCATTCGCCATGGCAGTCATCTTGGTCATCAACGACTGAATACGTTGCTGGAAGAGGAATGGGGAAAAGTAGCAGTGAGTGGACCCCAGCGCCTAAGGCTTCCGCGATGGGTCTACACAGACCTTTGTGGTACAATCCAAGGGTTGTTTACTTGCTCTCTCATAGTGAGGCTCATGGGGGAAGGGGTGAGAAAAGGAAACTGGAAAGAGTGTGAGAGGCCAGCTAACAGCAGTGTGGGAGGCAGCTAGCCATTTTGCAAAGCTGGGGATGAAGGGGCAATTTCTCCCCAGATGACTGAAACAGAAACCCCAGGGACCTATGTGGGCCACACACCTCTTCAGCAGCTTGAAGCTCATCTTCCTCATGGGCATCAGCTTTTTCCGCAGCCGAGAGCCCTGCGGAAAGTGCCGTCTTCTTGTCCTCGGCCTGGAAAGGAAGATGCAAAAATAGCTGGGCCCTGGAGACGAAGACTCAGTAGAGAAAGGACAACAACGCAAAGGGGCACAGATCTGTGAAAGACAACACGCAGATCTGGAAAGGTGAACCGGTCCCTGACAAAGAGTGGGGAATCCAGAGACCTGAGCTTCCCGTCCAACCACAGACCGAGCAGGTCGAGCTCCGGGCCTTGGCCCATGCCTTGCTCCATTGCTGCACTGCTTGCTGATTCAATTCCTATCAGGTCGCACACATTTGCCAGATTTATCCTTTGACTGGGGTTCCCCTTTGCTTTAACGCCTTCAAAAGCAAATCACTGCCTAAAGGAGTGTTTTACTCAAACGGCCAGTTGAGACCCATCAGTGGGACATGAAAGTCCTTTAGCAGGTATGGCCAGCATCTACATAAATTAAGCAAAAATAAGAGAACAGGACACACCAGAGTGCTTTGCATGTAGTAAAGGGGTAAGTACTGCTGTGTGAAACTTTTATTTTGGAGGGGTGTGTGTGTGTGTGTGTGTGTGTGTGTGTGTGTGTACTGAATCATGATGAAAAATAGAATTCTTACTGCCGAGAGTGGTCAACAAAGTTTAAAAACCACTGGCCTGAAGGATAAACATCGAACTGCTTCACCTGGTGATCAAGTTTTTTGCTCTGGACCCAGCCTCAGGCTCTAAATGTATCCAACACCATGCTCAAGACACCTGGATTGAACGCTGTTTCTCAAACCTGCACGGCAAGTCTAGAGTGCTTGGTGTTAACTCCATCTCTGCACCCACCAGCTGGGTGACCACCGGCTTGCCTTCTCTGGATATCAGGGTCTTCTTGGGTTGAAAAAGAGAACTGGTGGTCTCAGACACCCCCCTTAGACCATCCCAATGCTAGAAGGCCTTTCTATAACCTGCCTGTAACTGACCCCAGGGAACATTGTGAGCTCCTAATTGCCAGGTATACAGGTATCCCCTGCTTTCGAAAGCTCGTGTTAGGCCACTTTGCTTTCACAAAAGACCTACATTGGTACCTATTGTTGCTGACCAAAAGAAATCTGAAAAGGATTTTTGCTTTTACAATAAAAGGTGAAAGTGAAAACAGTTTTCAGTGTTTGTTTAGCCGTGAGCCATTAAGAGGGAGTGTGTAACCTGGGCGGTGAGGGTGGGCTGCCAAGCTCCTCCCCTGGAAATGACACTCAGCATCTCAGCATCAAGCTGCCAGAGCTTAGAGCTGTATCTGAGCATCTGTGCTTTATCTCAATTTATTTTGTGTGTCTGTTAGTAAGGCGTGTATCAGAAAAGCCTAAGAGGTTATTTTTTGGGTCTAGGAATGCTCAAAAAATTTTTTCATATAAATTAATGGCAATTGCTTCTTTGCTTTATACCATTTGGGCTTATAAAAGGCTTTATAGGTACACTCTACTTTGCAATAGTGGAGGAAACCCATATCTGTATTTGTAGACAAGCCCAAGGTGAATACTATTTAATGGGCATCACATGACTTTTCCAATCATAATTAATACACCCAATACCCACACGCACAGACATTCTTTTCAGACTAAATTACATACCAAATTGAATGTACACATCAAATTCTTATTATGTATCAGATGCCACCTGACATATACTCAAATCCAGAAAACACCTTGCTTTGGAGGAAATGACTGTTTAGTTCGGAATAAAAACACCACTGTGGAAAAAGTAAATGACGAGAAGACCAAGAAAGAAGCTATCCTAATCGATGATAAATAAATAAACGCCACTGATAAAATAGCTAGTGCTTACTAAATATCTCCTGTGTGATGAGTCAGTCTTCCCACCAATGCTGCGAGCTAAGGCACGGCGAGTCGGTACACCGTCCGAAGTCATGCAGGGGAGGGATCTGAAACCAGCCAGCCTGGCTTCAGCACACACGCTCCCAGTCACCATCCGTGCCCTCCGCTGACTGAGACAGCAACCACCACGTAACGTGGTGAGAGGCTGGGAGCCAGGGCAGGCTTTCTGGAGGGACTGAAGGATAGGGGTTCTGGACAGAGGGGGGTGGGGGGTGGCCGGAGAACAGAGCAGAGGGAGGAAGTGTCCAATGCAAGAAACTCTGGGCGTCTGCTGGGGAACGAGGAAAAAAAGGGTACCCAAAGATCTCGGACTCTAGGACTCTGCTTTTTTTTTTTTTTTTTTTTTTTAGGACTCTGCTTTTTAAGAGGCCACTGACAACTTTAGTTAGCACTTCATTATTTAAAAGGCAGTGGTCAAGAGCACAGGCTTTGATGTCACACAGACCTGCCTGGGTTCAGATTCTTATTATGGCACTTTAAGGGCTTATGTGATCTTGGACAAATCCCGGAGCCTCTTTGAGCCTCACAGCTTTCTGACCTCGGCTTTTCTGAAAAAAGGTAGTGTCTTCTTCATAGAGTTGTTCAGAGAAGTAAGTGAAAAAAAAAATACATGCAGAGCCCTGAACAAACACAGTAAGGGTTTGGCACTGTAAGATTTACATGACTGCCCTGCAGCCGACAATTAAGGGTCATCAGTAAATATATAAATTAAGGGAGATTTCTGAGACTGCTCTGTGAAGTCAGAAACGCCACCTTGACTTACCTGAGTTTTCCACACTAGGGTGTCTTAGGGCAGGCCTGCGATACATGGCTGTGTTCTATGTCACTGGCAGCACCTGCTCACACCTGTCTAGGGTCTCCCTCATCAAGGGGGCAGTGCTCAGGGCCCTGAAGCGGACTTCATCTTCACACCTCTGGAGTTAGGAGAGCCCACCTGGTTGGCCCTGGGGCCATGATTCCCATCACCCTTCACTCCCAGGCCTTCCACGAGGCTGCTGCTCTCTGGCCTGCAAAGGCAGCATGCCGCAGCTACGAGAAGGGAGATGCAGGGGCCCAGGTAGCTGCCACGTCCCCGCTGCCCCGGGTTGCCCAGGGACCGGAGCCCGGTGCGCCACAGTGCCGCCATCCCCCCGACTCTTGCTAGACAGGCGGCCTGTCGGGGTCAGACAGAGGCAAAGGGGAGGGGCGCTTCCAGCTCTCCAATGTTCTCTCCCGTTATCCTTGCTTTTCTTACCTTCTCTGTTTTGCTCTGGCGGCTAAATCCGTATCTCCTGCAGGCCACAAAAAAGGGGAGTTCAATTACTATTCAAAAGTCACACAAATTTGGCCAATGCATTTTGGTTGGATTTTTATATGAAAAGCACCAAAGAAAATTTAGACCATATGGTAACTGGAGAAAAGGTCTTAAGTGCCTGAACCACAGACATATTCCACTGTTTTTGAATAAAGGGCCAGCCATTCTATTTGCCACACGAATACTATAAATGGGAATTCTCAGAGGGCGCAGAGTGCAATATTCTCTTTAAGTGTAACCATTACTCTTTGAATTAGGAGCTGTATTTCAGGCCCAAAGTTTAAGCTAAAAGCCTTAAAACTTTCTGTATAAACAAATGTGAGTATATTTGCCCGGGCTAAGGATGCTCTCTAATGATTATGCTCAGAACCTGGAGTCCGGCCCATTTTCCATTCTCAGACGTAGCCCAAGCATGATGCCAACAATGTTATGTGTTCACTTCAGGCAACCTTAAATTCAAAGAAACTCACAAATGCACTTTAGTTTAAATTAGTTTATTTTTAGGTTCTTTTTTTTTAAAGCAAGTGTAACAATGCAAAAACCATTCGACCTAAAACAAAAAGCATGATGCAAAACACCACACCTCACTTACCTTCAAGTAGTTTCTAAAGAGATAAAGGTACATGCGGCCATTTAAGAAAAGCAAATGAAGGACCCCTGCTTTACCCTCGCTCACGCCATGCCTCACCCGCTGGGCTGGTGCGCTGGTCCCCAGCCTCACTGCACCCCCACTCTTCCTCACTCCCTCTCCAGCTTCCCAGTGGCCTCATCTACACGCGTCAATGGCGGGCCTCTTCCCTCTGGGCACCTTCATTAGGGCTTCCCTTCCATGGCTCTGCCCAGCAACCTCCTAGCCTCACCTCCTCACCTGACAAGCTCCTGTGCATCCACGGCCTGACAGAGAGCTGTGCACACACTGTGCCCTTCTCCTACTTTCCATCCGCGCCCACACCTCAGCTCTCAAGCCACCTCCTCTGCACGTGTTCCCCCCACCTCCCAGATGGCGATCACGTCCAACAGTCTGTGTGCCTGTCTGCATCCTTTCCCCAGACGGCATGGGAGCTACTTTTTTTTACATTTTGTATTTCTAATGTATGTTGAACAAATAAACTCAACAGAAGTGGAAGAACATGCAGGAATCAAGAAGCCAAAGCATCACCTAGCCTTGTAGTAGGCTGTCATATAACTGGAGAGACCACAGAGTCCCACCCGGGCAGTGTGCCCATTCATTCAGCATAAATGTCCAGGTACGAAGTGCAGCCAACTGAAGGTAAATTCGGAGTGTTCATACACAGTTTCTAAAGGACCCTAGGACAGATTCTGTGCATTATTTCCACAATGTCTACTGCATCTTCCTATACTGCAGAGGCTGGGAAACAAAAGACTCTATTTTCTTTTTCTTCTTTTTTTTTTTAGTGGGGGGGAAGGGCAGAGGGAGAGGGAGAGAGAGAATCTCCAGCAGGCTCCACTCTGAGTGCAGAGCCCGAGGCAGCCCTCCATCTCAGGACCCTGGGATCATGACCTGAGCCAAAATCAGGAGTTGGACGCTTAACTGACTGAGCCACCCAGGAGCCCCAAAGACTCTATTTTCTCTACTCCCTTGCACCCAGGGCTTGGGATGCGACATAGGCCCCACCAATCAGGTGCGCTTCCTGGCAATGTGAATGTGCAGTAGCCAGCTGAGCACACAGGTGTGTTGTGCTGCTGTGGATCACAGAGGTGACCTGGCTCTGGGGCCAGCAGCTGTGGTGGCAGCATCCTGATTTGGGCCGAGGTGGCATGGTTTTTTTGTCAGCAGCCGTGAGGCCGGCATCCCCACCCCACAGGCCACCAGTTGGCTGCGCCACGGTGGAAGCAGAAGCAGCATCCTTGGGAGGCCCGGTTCCGATGTGCTGCCTGGGAAGTGACCCCGGTTCAGCCTGGATCCCACCTCTCAAACCTTCCCAAGGATCCATGGAGTCAACCCCTGTTGCTGAAACTAGCTGGAGGAACCCTGGTTGGTCAGAACCCTGACCAATAGAGGGTCTTACCACAGTTCCCCACTCCTAGAAGTAACCTTGCACCTTGGGTGTTCCTTCGTTTTCCAGGTGCTTAGTCTGTGGAGACCCGTAGGGCAGATGACATACCCTCAGGCAGAGAGTCCTCATCTAAGGACCCAAAACTTTTTGGATTTTCCAAATAAAGCAGTAAACAACTAAATGTGAGTGACTCAGTTACTGCCCCTTCTACTCCTTTGTAAAGACACAGGTTGTGGGAAGACCCTTCTGACCACCCAAAGGCCTAGGTTAGGAACCAGTGCGCTCATCCCACAGGCTACAATAATTACATCTAATCCTATAAATCTGTCTGTTGAGCTCCTGGAGGGAGTGCTTCACTCATTTTTTTTTTTTTAATCGTTTTTTAAACTGAGATATGATTTGTATCACATAATATTTACCATTTGAAACTATATACTCCAGTGGCTTTTAGTGGATTCACTATTTGTTCAACCATCACCACTATCTAATTCCAGAACAGTTCCACCACTCCAGAAAGAAACGCCATACCTATCAGCAGTTAGTCCCAATTCCCCCTCTCCAGTCCCTGGCTACCACTCATTGGTTTTCTGTCATTTGATGGATTCGCCTATTCTGAACATAATCATATTTACAGAATCTTAGGTGGCCATCTATAATTGGCTTCTTCACTTAGCATGTTTCAGACAGCTCCATTCGCTTTTGTACCCACAGCACCTAGGACAGCGCTTGGCACATAGTAGGTACTCAATAAATGTATGCTGAATGAGTAGAGTCCATCTGATTTTTCTGAATGTCTCCTTCACCACGTGACATGGTGAGAAGGCTTCCATGACAAAGAGCTGTCCTCGGTCGCCTATTAATGCCTGCCTCATTATGTTCACTGGTCAAGATGTCTCTGGGAGACTTCCACATTGTTTGAGCTTCACCAGGAGAACATGGTATCCCTTTCTGGCCTATCATCCCTCACAAAGAACAAGGGGATGCTTCAACTTATTTCTATTACAAAGCATTTACTTCTATCTTTCATAGGTATGCTGCTCTACCCTCCCACCTCCCTCTCCTCTTTCCCTGTCTGCCCTGCTCTTTCCTCACAAGTACCAGCCTGATCGGTGCTGCCAGAAGCTTTAATCTGTTTCCACCTTTCCCTGTGTTAGCTCTGACCCACCAGCCCTGCTGATGTCCTACGCTGTCAGCACTGACAGAACTCCAGCTTCTTACCCCCCCTTTACTTCCTCATATCCTACACCTCACACTTGATCTTTAACATCAAGGATGTACATCTTCTAGAACAGCACAGTCTGAAAAAAAAAAAATGCTAACAAGAGCCAAATAGATAACTTTGAATTAGTAGGTTTACATATTCAAGTTATTTCAAACTTAAACTTTTCCAATAACTAACTAATTAATTAACTAATAATAAATAATAAATTAACTAATTAATTTAAATGTAACTTAATTAAAATTAAAATTCTGTTCTTGAGTCACACTGGTCATACTTCAAGTGCTCAAGAGCCACATATGGCTAATACTATCGTATTGGTAATTCTAGAAAATAAACTAACCTTCAAAAACAACTGCCACAGGGCAAATTAAGTCAGATATCAAACTATCTGGAATCCTGAACACAACAGGGGCATAAAAAAGCCCTAAATACTAAGGACTGTGGACTCCGTTCTTCATTCATTCCACAAGCATTTACTGATTTACTAAATACTTTCTATAAGCATGTCACAGGCCTTGCCATCGCAGAGGATACAAACAGGTTGGGAGAGTCATGTCATATTTCATTTACTAAGTACAGAATGACTTCAAAGCAACTAAAATTAGGCCTCAAATAGTGTGGAATAGGCTAATGCCAGTATTCTAGTGGTTATGCTTCAAAATTCCACCTCCAAGTTGTTAGAGAAAGCCACAGGCCCAAGGTACAGTCACTTGCCCTGTGACAGCAAACCAAGACTCAATTGCAGTGTCAACCCCTCCAGGAGTGGAATTTCAAGCTAATCAATCTGGAATTTTCTGGTCGGCACCAAAGAGGTAATCTGTCACAAGGGCCCTCTCCATCCTCCAAAGGAAGATGAGGTAATCACCTAATAAGACCCCATCTCTTCCCGCTAAAGGAAGGTGACCTTGCCTGAAACAATTCTTTGTTTTCTTTTGTTAATAACTTCTTACCCTACCCTCCTTCCTATAAAAACCTCCCATTTTGTACAGCTCCTGGGAGCTCATCTTTACTTGCTACATGGAAGGCTGCTGGATTCATGAATCACTTAATAAAGCCAATTAGACTGTCAAATGTACTCGGTTGAATTATGGTTTTTAACAAAGTCAAATATACCGCATATAAAATGCATTTCTCCACAGCAGCAATTTTATAGCATGGTTAGGTGTTTTAATTTAGCTCCTCAAAGCTGACTGGACCCGTAACAAAACTGAAATACGATAGACTTGCAATTTTGTTTAAGTCTAAAATCAAAACCATGAGTCTTGTTTTTCCAATACCATAACACTTAAACCAATCTATCCAAACATGAACAGGCACACACAGACCTTAAGGCCTTCAGCATGGCTGACGGGGCTCAAAGTCCAACTTCATTTCAGCAAGTAAGTCAAAAAAGGTGGAAGATGCTGGAATGCTGACCTCAAAGCCAGATGCACTGTGGGCCTAGGCTAATGAGTAACCTTCAACCCCAAAGAGTTTCAGACCTTCTTACTCCAGGAGACAAAATACTTGCCCTCTTATCAAGAGGTGAGATAGACAGAAAACCAGAGCCACTGACAAGAGATGGGGGATGTGGATTCCTAAGTGGGGATGAGTAATTAGGGGTGCCATGATGTTCACACTGACGGGAGAGACAGGATGGAGGAGGGTGAGTCCCAGGGCCAGTGGAGGCCCAGCCTTGCTTGACTGGGGAAGGGAGGGAGGAAGAGTGGGTGACACTTCTCGCAGGGCGGGGGAGGGCTAGTGCTAGGGGTACAGAGCACAGGGACAAGGAGAACTAAAAGGAGAGGCGCATTTGTTTTTTTGTTTTGTTTTTTGTTTTTTTAAAGATTTTATTTATTTATTCATGACAGACAGAGAGAGAGAGAGAGAGGCAGAGGGAGAAGCAGGCTCCCAAGGAGGAGGGAGCCTGATGCGGGACTCGATCCCAGGACTCTGGGATCATGACCTGAGCTGAAGGCAGACGCTTAACCATCTGAGCCACCCAGGTGCCCAGGAGAGGCGCATTTGAATCTACAGGTCATATTTAAGGGCATTTGAGAACTGAAAACTGTTGCTGCTGCTGATGCTGATGACAGAGCCTAGCAGTCGACGTTTACTGTTTTCTGCACAGGACAAACTACTTAGATTTCTTCACGTGTGTATTGGTATGTAATCCTCATTTAATGGGCAAGACCATTTGTCTAGGGGACAGTACTGACCGAACACTGAGGAGAAAGTCTGATGGCCAGAAAGGAGGGGAGGGCCTTCCCAAGGAGAGGGAATGAAATGAACACTTGCTGGGGCTTTAAGTTTTGTCCAATTTGCTCCATCAGTTTTAATAAGCACTCGCCTCTTGTTCTGTGTCAGACCAAACAACAAAGACTGGGCCTGTGTTTCTAAAACCAGAAGCCAAACTTCCCCTGGAGACTCAAACAATACCTGGAGCTAATGATAAAAGCATGCTATGAGGGTCCAACAAACCTGAGTTCAAGTTCCAGTGTGAGGCTCTTAATAATTCTTAAGAGTAGTTAATAGTTGACTTTGGGCAAGTTACTTTTTAAATTTTCTAACGCTGTCTTTACCATTCTCAAAAAAGGGAGTTGAGCTAATTAAACCATCAGAATGTCCTAAGTATCCACTTCCCCACTTCTCACAAACTCAGCCTCTCCTCATCAGGAAAGCTAAAAAAGAGTAAAATAACTTCTCTCCTAAAAAAACAGAATCCTTCATCGAACACCTACCCTAAGCTTGGAACTCAGCAGAAATCAGCCTGACCCCACCAACAGGAACCAAGATGGACGTTGACACACTCTGCTCTTTCTTGCACTCCAAATTTGAGAGGAGTCACGAAGAAAACCTGTGCATTGCTCCCTTCCCTAAAGAAAGCCCCACCAGGCTCTGGACTTCAACCGCACCAACCACTCGTGAGGATGGGCAGGGGCGTCCTGAAGTTACCCAGCCATCACTTGACAATAATGACTACCCTCTATGACACACGCAAAAGAGCCAGTTTAAAACTGAGAATTTCAAAACAGGGAAATATTGTCAGCCTGGTCTCGGTAAGGTGGACAATTCACCGAATCTCTGACTCCTCTTCACCCCCAGGAGCGTCTGAGTATCCATGACAATGGGCAAAAAATGGAGCTATGAACAATACAAACTAAGAAAACCATAACATTCCCCTGAGTATTCTTTGGCCCTGGAACATGGGACACCTGGGGAGGTTGTCTCTCCAGTTGTGGCTCACCTAGAGCCGTGCGGCCTCACCTGCCCACCTACAGCTGGGGCTTGGCTGGAAAACCCCGTTGCAGTGCCCAGGGCATACAGCTCAGAAGGGCCCCACACCTGGTTTTTGTTGCTGTCTTGAAATTCTTTTTTTTTTTTTTAATTTTTATTTATTGGTCAGAGAGAGACACAGTGAGAGAGGGAACACAAGCAAGGGCAGTGGGAGAGGGAGAAGTAGGCTCCCCGCCAAGCAGGAGCCCAACGTGGGGCTTGATTCCAGGACCCTGGGATCACGACCTGTGCCGAAGGCAGATGCTTAATGACTGCCACAGGCGCCCCTTGAAATTCTTAATAATTAGTCATTACTAGTAATTCTTATTTTATCCTGGGCCCCACAAATTATGTAGATGGTCTGGTGGTGCCTGACTCTGAAGAGGAGTTCAATTCACAGCCACGACTGGGGAGCTGTGGAGCAGCCATCGGACCCGGCTGAGGGCCAGCACTAACACCTTCCTCTGAATGAAACAGACTAGCTTTCATTCCTAGGAAGGACGGACCTGACACCACACAAGCCCCTCAACAAGAAAAAGAAGAAAAAAAAAAAAAAAGGTGGCAACTTTTTTGGGAAATTTTTTCCATTTGAAAGATGAGGTATTGAAGCCAATGAAGCCTAACTTCCTTCCAGTTGTGTCTGGTGCCTCAGACGGGGTAAGCCTTCTGATGCTCACTCGGGGAGGCGAGCTGTTAGTCCCAGCCGCCCAAGGAGGGCTGGGTTATGAGGCAGAGCAGCATATAGCAACCACTCCCAGATTAAAGAAAGGAAGCACAAGGAGCCATACTCACATCCAGGGATCAGTTATCCTATGTAGAAAACGCAGGACATAAATGAAGGTTAATACCCAAGGTCAACCAAGAAATTCAATGAGGACAGTACTTCTTTGTGTGCTTTTTAAGTAAAAAATGAGGATAAAAGATAAATGGCTTTTTAAAAAATTAGGAAGGTTATTAAGAAGTGATAAAATATTTCTAAATTCTTCATCTTCCTGCTCAGGACAATCCCTCACGGGAAACCAAAACTATTACTCTAACACTTAGAACTACCGTAATTGTTTTCAATTCTGTAATTTTCCCTGAAGATTTTAACGAATGGCAGGGGCATGAAGGGCAGACCACTCCTGGCCTCTGCAAATACCCTCAAACACCTCAAATCCCCAGGAGGGCAGAGCCAGGGCGCACAGTTACACACATATTTCCGGAGGGGAACTGCAAAGATCAGGCCTCCACCATCATCAGGGAAGCTACCCAGAGAGAAAAGTCCCTGGTGATGGAAATCTCAAGCCAAAAACAGTAAAATGTCAGGTAAAAAAAAACCAACCAAATTAATCTCAATGAAGCAATCCAAATCAATTTTTCTTCTCAAGGGTTTTATAAAATAGACACCTCAGGCTGGGTCCCCTTCATTACCTGCCATATTCCAAAAGCGTGGCATGGACTCGAGATTCTTCATCGAGCAGCTCTTCTGCTCCCTGTTGGCGTTTGTATTTCCGACGGGGCTTGTAAACATCCTAAGAAGTGGATGAGACAGACGACTTACTGAGTGTGAGAACACTCTCCTTCTGAACTGCCTGCTGGGTGCATCCAGCCAGTTAGGGAAGCAAGTCTTTCCCCATCATGGTGAGTGTGCCCGCCTCCCGCAGGAGAACAGGAGAAGGGTGGCCGCCTTCAAGGAGTCTGCTCCTTTGACATTCATATAGGTAGCAAGTATTTCCACTCAAGATATTGCTTGTCAACTTTAACTTGGTGTTTTTTTTTTTTTAAGATTTATTCACTTATTTTTAGAGAGAGGGAGAGAGCGAGCGAGTGTGGGGGGAAGGGCAGAGGGAGGGGGAGAGAGAGAATCCCTAAGCAGACTCCCCACTGAGCATGGAGCCCGATGCGGGTCTCAATCCCATGACCCTGAGATCACAACCTGAGCAGAAACCAAGAGTCGGACACTCAACTGACTGAGCCACCAAGGCGCCCCCTTCGTGTTTCTTTTGTCCTATGGCATTTTAATATTTTATGTGGTCAAACTTATCAATCATTTTATATCTTACTTCTTATTACCAGGGATTGTAAAAAAAAAAAAAAAAAAAGTTCTCGTATGTTACTTGTATAGGTTATACTTAGCTTTTTAATCTATTCAGAAGCTTTTTTTCCTGAATGGAAAATTAAGAATCCCAACATCATCAATTTAATAGTCCAGCCTTCCCCAGATCTGAAATGGCATACATGTATAACATGTACCAATGTTACCCTCTTTAATTCCTCTTGCTTTATGAACCTTTATCCTGTCTCCACTGTTCTTTTTCAAATTTCCTGGCTATTGTTAAACATTCTCTCTTTCAAATGAATTCTAGCATCAACTTGTCAGGTTCATAATAAATAACTGTTGAGTTTTGATTAGAATCACACCAAATTTATAGATTATTTTGGAAAGAACTGGCATATTTATAATATTGAATCTTGTCTTGAGAAGCAAGGTTTATCTCTCTATTCAGATTTTTTTATTCCTTAATAAAATTTTCCAGAAAAAAATACAAATTTTCTTGTCACTGCATATCCAGACCTTTCCACCACCCAGGGCCACAAACCAGTTAAACAATCACAGGTGTATAGGTTAACCCAGAATCCTTAAAAAAAATTCCTTAAATGGTAAAGGAGATTTCAATTCCTAGACTCTAACAGCAGAAAAGAAGAGTAGATACAAACCCTTCAGCAATAATATCTTTTTTACAAAAGTACCAGGCTGAAGTTTATTAAAAAAAAAAAAAGTGTATAAAAACACAAAATGCTCTACCAACTTTCACTGACTTTTAAAATTACTAGAGTGTGATTTAATTATAAATGTAGAAGCAAACATAGATCTATTTTGTATAGGACACATTCTGAAACATAGTATTTCTTGAAGAAAGCATGTGGCATGTAGTAGGTGCTCAATTAATGTAGTTCTTTACCCCTAGATGACCTGATTTAGCATGCCGCCCCAAATGAATGTCCTTCTTGAGTGTCGAGCTGGCAGTCAAATAATATCTTAGTAAAATGTGTTCAGGGCTCTGGGTGCAAGTAGGCAAATATTTATGCAAGGAAGGTATTCCAGTTGTTCGTCCCTGGATCTTTTCTTCTCCACGACCAGAGTTCATCACAAGTAACCTCTACCTGGACATCACTAGGACAAGCACTACTATCAGGTTTCTTCAGATAGTGGTATTTTTATTCCAAGTAGAATTGTACCTCCCATGATAATTCTTGTTAACTTTGTTATTTTACTTTTTATTACGAAAAGTTTCAAACATACAGAAAAACATCCTTTTGTAACACATACTATGTAATTTTAACAATTCTGTAAAAGAAAAGGAATGGACTAGGGTCTGGGATGATGCTGGAGTGTTGTTCTTATGACTTGCCGCCAGAAATAATTCCTAGTTTGCTGCTGGTGTCTACACGAATAGGAAGCTATAAATAATGTAAAACAGAATCATGGGGAAATGCAACATATAATGAATCCACATGACGTCAGTTACTACATATGATTTAATTCTCACTGAGCTCTATTATAGCAGTACTATATAATTGAGCTTAACTGCTATCTTCCTTAGTTACCACCGATAGAGTCAATGACCCAAGACAGGAAATTGGATTCTTCTAAAAAAAGGACTGACTCCAAAACAATAGCATACTGAAACCAGCAGCTATAAGGACCTTTTATTCTGGGAAACAGTGACAATGTTGGCCTTTGTGTAATTATTCCTTATACTTGAAAGCACCTCATATACACCTCACCTTTGCATTTTATAACTGTTCCCAGAGGTAGAGACAAGGCAGATGCTGTTACCCCCACTCCACTACTGAAGAAGCAGAGATTAAATAATTTGTCCAGGATCTCTAAAATAGTATTAGGCCTGGCCCTAGGTCCCCTGGCTGCTAGTCCCAGGGTTTTTCCAATACCCTCACTTGCTTCTGGTGGGCATTCCCGCCACCCTCCAGCCATCTTAAGTGAGTCCTCTCATGAGACCGCCATATACCTGAGGCTGCCACATGGATCATTACAGTGGTTCGCTTAAATAACAAGGACCTAAATGTCAGGTTTTCAGGCCAACTTAAAGAACTATTGCTAAGTCACCCTTTAAAGCAACAGAGTCAGAACCACAGATGTCTAGTCTGGTCTCTGCCATTTACTAGCTCTATGACCTCGGGAATTCCCTTCAATGGGCCTGTTTCCGTCTCTGTAAAACCAGGGCTAGACTAATAGCCCTTGAACAGGCTCTTGTTCTCTGTGCTAAAGGACACATGAGCAGGGTGTGAGAGTCACAGATTTCTACCTTATAGGTCTGGCTACAGGACACCAATTAGGAGAATTCCTGAGTCACATTTCAAATGGCAGGGGAGGGAAGTGGGAGAGCACAACATCGGGGCAGCGTCTGCAGCAAAGATTAATCACAATTACGGCGGGTATCTCCTTTCTGAAATAATGAGCAGGCAGTGAGACAGTCATCACCAACTTGGCATTCTCTGGTTAAGAGCTCCAGTGGGCCAGGCCACACCCAGGTCTGCAGGGAGTGACATTCCCCTGACTTGCCTCCACTGACGTCAACACATTCTCTCAAGGCTCAACCCTCAGACATGCCTCAGTCCAGGAGCCCCACGAACTAACTCTGCTTCACCTCACGGGGCTCCACAGATGTCTCCACCATGAAGACCAATGTCCTGAAAGATCCTGTAGGAAAAAGTTATTATAATTGGGACAAATACATTTGCTTGCTTTTTTTTTTTTCCCATTCTCACGCTAATAAAACAACAAATGAAACAAAGCCCCTGGGTACTAAGTGAAGGAAATGGGAGACCAATGGATGGCAACTATTTCTGGAGAGGGGAACACATCTGCAGGGAGGAAAGTGAGCTGGGGAGGCAGTTTTCTCCAGACTTTGTTTCCTTTCTCTTCTCTTTCACATGAGCCCTGCTCTGCAGCTTCAGGACCGGCACACATCCCGCCACAGGGCTCCTTGAGTCGAACAGTATAATTTGCTGGTAAGACTAAGGTCACTGTATTAAGTAAAGGAGCCAAAGATGGCTTCTGCACGTTGGCTCTTAGGTTTATTTCCTCACAGCAGGCTGAGACCTAGTGGCTCAAAAGCACGCCAGGGCCAAAGTCAAATTTTTACACATCCAGTTGTTTCAAACATGGCCCAAAGAGGCAGATTTTTAGCCACTTACAGCCTGTCTATGTCGCATACTCTACAAAACTGCATTTGCTAACAAGATAGGATAAGCCCTGGGACTGTAAAGACCCAAAACTACTGCTGCAGATCTCTTTCAGAGACCTCTGGCTAAGAGATTCTCTGTGCTGTTGCTGCGTGACATCACCGAGGCACGTGGACAATCTCCAGGACCCCCTGGGGGGTTCCCTTGCTACCCTCGCCTTCTGGATGCAGCCCCGGTGCCTAGAACTCTGGATGGTGGCTTGCTGTGAGGGACTGACTGCCCCATCTTACAAGCAAACCTGTCAAAGCATCACCCCAATAAAGCTTATGTGCGCTGCTTGCCCCCTCGTGGTCATATCTTTTTCCTTGATGAGACCCCAAATTCCCTTGATTCCCTTACTGCTTTTACCTCACCTCCTAGAGTGCGATCTGATACACAGTGAGTGTGCAACTAATATTACTGAATGAATACGTGGACAAACAAGCTTTTGGTCCTAACCCCATAACCTACTACCTGTCTGATTTGGGGCAAGTTACTTTAACCTCTGCGATTTTCCATCTCTAAGAAAGATACAAGTAGAATTATTGTAAGGATTATTTCATAGTATCTGACACACAGTAAGAGCTAAGTTAGATAATATATAACTAAGCTAAGAGATATATATATCTAGGATAGATAAGACAGCTATACATTTTGGGGGGGGGAGGGGCAGAGGAAAGGGAGAGAAGAATAAGACTCTCTGAGCCGGAATCAAGAGTCAGACGCTTAACCGACTGAGTCTAAAATATACACTTTTAATATACATATGTATATATATTATTATTGATAAAATGTACTAACATTGGTTTATGTATGTAGCCACATTTATATTTTATGTGAATGAAAAGGCCTTCCTCATAGCATTTCCTGTGGAAGAACACACTGGAGTAATAACTTCAAATGACATGGTCTCCTAGGGGATCCCATTAAGTTCTGCAAAACATTTCTTTCAACTAAACTGGAAGTTCTAAGAGTCCTTTTCCCCCCTCTATTCTTATACAAAATTCTAAACATTACCAAAAAATGCTCAATGAATAGTAAACAATTACTTTTTGGAGCTTTGGGTAAAATTTGACAGGTACTCTTAGTCAAGGTTAACAGGGAGTAACAGACCTCACTGCACAGAACAGATACTTGAGGGATATGAAGGCTGACAGCTCAGACAAGGAGGAAGTAAGCTGTACAACAGCATGCTAGGTGAGACAAACGAGCGACTATGTTATGACACGAAAAGGAAAAGGTGGTAAGGGGTGACCTGTCCTGGGTGGTGAGAGTTTTGATTTCTTATGTGCTTTGAAAATATACTTCCCATCAGCCTTCCACAAAGCAGCTAGCTATTCTGTAAAAAGGAGGTATGCAGAAGCCAAGAAGTAACACAATTCAAGAAGAAAGCCAAAGTACTGGGAATAATCCCCAAGAGGAAGAAAAATGAGGCCAAGACAAAGAGAGAAAACCCCAAAGTGATGAGTGCAGAAATTCAAGTTCACAGCAGCCTTTCTGCCTGGCAATCTGCCAAGAGGTACTAACAGCCTTAGGCATAACCTCTGACCCAATTCCATTTCATCCAATGTTTCCTAAGTAAATAAAGATCAAAGGAAAAACTTAGCTATAAGAATGTCCTAGATAATGGAAAAAAGAAAAAAAAAGATACAAAGTGAGCTAGTTAATACCACACAATGAATAATCTACAGCCCGTAAAAAGGCTACAGAGGTATTATTGGCATGGAAAGACAGCCTCAATTATATTGTTGAACAAAAAATAAAACAGAATATACAGTATAATGCCATTTTTAGGGATCTCTAATTCTCTGTATTGATATCCCTAACTTTGTATTTCCTACTTGGAATATGTATCAGTAATTATCTCTGGCTGGTGGTATCACGGTGACTTAGTCTTTGTAATTTTTCCCCATTTCTTCATTTTTTGTTACTATTACTAAAGTACTAGTACAAAATACATAGAAGCTTTTTTAAAACAAAAAATCATGCACCCCAAAATGGCTGGGCTACATAACCAAGGACAAGTACAAAAGACTGGAACAGTCCTATAAGGAGGGCTAAGGATAAGAATGAGCTATATATTTTGAAAAATATTAAAATGTTTTTTATATTTTAAAAAGAGGTTATATCTAAGCAAGAATAAGTAAAAGCCTGCTGGTATTATGTTTGTAGATGAAGAAAGACAACAGGATTGTCTCCACTTGGCAGACATTCTCTAGCTGGACAAAGGGTCTTCAAGTGGAAAAGTCACAGTAAACAACCCCGCAGGGGACTGACAAGGTGGTGGAAGAGCACCTCGCCGCTCTGGACGCCTCTGAGTCTCTGGGACCTAGATGAGTAACATCTCAGAGTCCTGAAATAAGCCAGGATCGTTGCTGTAAAACTGGTGCCAGGAGTATGCGGGAAATCAGAGTCCAGGTGAAGAGAGGAAATGGGAGGAGCACCACACCTGTCGTGTTTGAGGAGTCTGATGTAAAACCAAAATCTTGCTGCCTCTTCCTCTTCTGCAAATATGGAGGGAATTTGTTAACCTTTGTGGCTTCAACTTTCTGATTTATAAAACAGAAATAATAATATAGAACTCGCTGAGTGTTGGAAAGGCGCTAATGAGACGATGCTTGTGAAACGCCTCACTGGGTGCCAAACACACAGAAGGCCCTCAATCAGTACGCGGCAGCTACAGACACATATTATAAAAGGCTGGGTCCAGAAATTAGGCACCTACTGTGTGACCTTATTTGAATCTGTAAGTTACCATTCACAATTTAAGTTTGGGATTCTAGATTCGTCCATAAGGAGCAGATAAGAAACACTGATGAGTCATGTGAAGGGCAGAACTGGGAAAAGGGTAGAAGGAGAGGGAAACAGCCTTCAGAATCTGAGACCTAAAAGAGCCACAGCTTCTGGTAGTTGAGAAAAGACTTCATTCCCTTCACAAAGGGACAGATTTCCCTTGGGGAGAGTGACGACGAATGAAAACCAGCACGCTGTTCCATTCCTTACAGGACTCACGAGGATAAGCCAGGGACATGCACTGCAACCCTGGAGTCTCCAGTAAGCTTCTGGAACTCCAATTTCAAGGCAAGGAAGTGACAAAGCACTTGCAGAAGTGGTGGGCGGGAGGGAAGGAAGTGAATGGTAATGGAGCTCAGCTAAGAATCCTAAGAAGAGAGCATCTGGAAGTGAGGGGGAAGAAGAAAACAAATAAAACCCAAAGGCCAGCTCTGGCCATCCATCAAAATTCTTATCATTCCTGCTACAAATGTATTGACAGTCAACTAAGGAGTAAGTTCATACATAAAAAAGGAAATCAACTGAGCAATCTGAACTATTATCAAGAGACTTGCACATTTTCCCCATTTTCCTTTATCTTGATATTATTTTTGAATTAGCTGTAAACAGCATTTTATCTAGAGGCCCACAGCATAGTAGTTACAAGACTGGGTTTGCATCCTGACTCCATCATCACCAATGTGACCTTGGGCAACTTATATAACCTATCTGTGCTTGAGCTTCCTCACCTGTAAAAAAGGAAAGAAAATACTACTACTTCAGAAGATTGTTGTATGGACTAGGTAAGGTATACATAAATGCTTACAACAATGTCTGGGCACCAGGTATTTGTCATTATCATTACCTCCTTAAATCGTATGCAGTCACATTACCAAGCTGAAGAGGCGGATTTTCTTTAAAAACTCCATTACAAATAAGAAGAAAGAATGTGTCTCTAGAGGCCTGAAATGTTTAATGGGTATGGGGATGCCAGGCCCAGTTCCACTGATAGGATGACTGACAGCTATGCTGGCCTTTTCTTCCCATTGATAAGGCTGAAAACTATTATTTCTCACTCTCTAGCCAGGGCTCAGAGTGAGATTTACACAAGAAGATATTCAATTAAGCATTTAGAAAATTTTACTTTTGTTTACCGTTTCTGAATAAGTAACACACAGACTTGGTATAACATTCAAATAGGACAGGCTTTACAAGGCAAAGAGAATTTCCCTTCCTCTCCTGCCCCGGGCTCCCCAATTCCCTGGATGAGAGGTAATGCCATCACTTGGTTCTCCTAGCTTTCCAGAAATGAAGCATCATTTAAAACAAGAGAAAGCAACCACATATCCAACAAACTGGTTAATATTTTTCATGACAAATGCAGTTAGGAGGAATCCTTAATAGCTTACAAAGACACTATATTGGTAAGTTAAAAAAACCAAAATTTTATTTAAAGTATGACTCCAATTCGGTATAAAAATGCACATTAAAAACATGGAAGAGGGACGCCTGGGTGGCCCAGTTAGTTACTTGTCTGCCTTTGGCTTAGGTCATGATCCCTGGTCCCTGCTCAGCGGGGAGTCTGCTTCTCCCTCTGCCTGCTGCTTCCCCTGCTTGTGCTCTCTCTCGCTCTCTGACAAATAAATAAAATCTTAAAAAAAAAAAAAAATGGAAGAAATATGTCCAAGCACCAAAAGAAACTGCTTCTTTGTTGTGAGATTAAGGTTGATTCTCTTCCTCTGTATCTATCAACCTTTAAAAAAAAAAACAAAAAACTTTAGGGATGTCTAAACTGAACAATTATTTCATAACTAGGGGAAAAAAATTACTCTGATGTCATATCATGTCCCGTTATTATTATTATTTGATATCGCCACCATATCTGAGAACAGTATCTGGCTTCAGAGTGTAACTATCTTGAAGGTTTTCCACTCCTTCCATTTCCAAAATGGAATTGTGAAGAAGATACAAATCACAACTCTAAAGTGACAAAGATTTTTCTTGTTTAAAATGAGCACTTCATGTCATCAAATGATTGTTACTCTTTTTAGAGTGATCACCTTGGAAGACCACACATGTATCCTTAAAGTAGGGGGAAAAATGCAAAATAACACTATGCATTATTTTTGGAAGAAAGCGAACTTACGCCCAGGCACTGTGGCTTCATTGCCAGCAGCTCAGGTAGGAAGGCTGGGGCTGGGGTTGGATGTGTGGCACTGAGAAGGTTCTGCTGGGCTCTGGCCCAGAAAGGTTTGAAAAGCTCTCCTCTGCCCCTTGCACTGGGGGAGTGGGCATGCGAGTGCAGACTCCATGGTTAAGATTCACTGTGTCAGTGACCAAGGCTATCCCAGTGTGTCCCACACAAAGCTCAGGAGCTGTTCTGCCTTTCCAGAGCCATCATGGGATGCTAACCTCAATTTACCACCTCCAGTTCAAGAGGAGCTATTCAAAGTTTACACCTGCCACTGGCACAAATGAGGAAAGGCTATGGGTTTGGAAAATTTCTCCTGGAAAACTGGAACTAAGAAAAACACAGGGCAGTGGTTGTGGCACTTTCTACCCATAAATGCTGGCATCCAGGTATGGGCACTGAGGCAGACGGGGCTTCTCTCACACACCCACCTGAGGTCAGCACCTGGGCAATCCCAGGAGGGACTGGGCAAGGGTTTTGGGATTTGAATCACGGGGCTATCTGGAGGCTATGAACTTATGTCCTTCCCTTACACAGGGGCAGGAGAACTTACTGCAAGGTCGACAACTGTCTTGATGGCCTTTTCTTTTCTCTTTATGAAGTCATCATCCTGCAAGACAAAACACAGGGATTAAACAAACCCTGTGTGAAGACTGAAACTCAACCGGACTTCTCAGAAACCTATCTTACAAATTGATTTCTCATCACAGCTTTGCCTGCAGAAGCCTCAATCTTCTAACAAAGTGGAATATATTCTACATGGGTAGAAGCTAGGGCCTCTGCAGATGGCTCCAAAGCAGATCCCACAACAGTAAGAAAGACAGGGACCACAAAGTGTACTGGTGAAGCCAAGCATTCCTGGTCAAATCCTTATGAACTCGGACACCCTGGGCAAGCCACCTATCTCTAAGCCTCAGTTTCACCATCTGTAAACGGGGACACCACCACCTACATCAGAGAGCAGCTGTGAAGATTAAGGAGGAGAAGGCATGTGTTGGGCTGGGACTAAGTGTAGTAAGTACTCAGTGGCTATCTGTTGTTATTATTGCCGTGGGGGTGGTTATTATTAAACCATTACCATAGGAATGCCCTAGGCAATGACCTAGGTGGTCTCTTGAAAAGCTTTATATGACTAGTAAAAAAAATATACTCATGTTCTTATAATTTAATAAAAGTTCTGAATCAAGTACTAAAATTGGGAGAAAAGGAGAAAATTGCAGGGCTTTTCACCCAGGGCCCATTTAAAGAGGCAGTTCTGATGTACCAGGATGCTGCCCAGGCAGGGGCAGAGACGTCACACAGAGGAGCCTGAGCTTACTCTGCTCCCTCCCGGGGAGTCTCTAAGTGTATACACATGCTCGCAGTTGGATGAGAAAAGAAAAGGAGAATACTGACCTCAGGGAGACTGTAGGTTTTCTGGAACTGGGATATGGAGTAGGAGCGGATGTAGTCACCCATCTCTTCCTTTGTTTCTATAGCTCGCTTCACCAGCCACTGGGAAAGAAAGTTAGGAAACATGAGGATAGGGATGAACCACCACTGTGGTAAAGGCCAATTCAGGGATGGTACAACTCGTGAACCGAAATCACCACACTTGAACTGTCCAGGTGATGAGAAACTATCCACACCTACTGTCCTATGTGAAAAGCAGCCAGTTGGGTGTCTGAGACGCTGAGATCCAATGGGATCTAGAGCAGAGTGGCTGTGCAGGAGCCTTAAAGCCTCACGTCGGATGCTCAGGCCTCAGTTTCCCTCTGTGTAGAGGTGAGAATATTGTCTTTCACCTCACAGAGCTACTGTGGGAGCAAATGAAATCACAAGGACCAGAATGCTCTATGAATGCCTGAAGCACAACACAAATATAGTTACAGAGACACCTGGTTCTAGTGGCAGATCTGAACGTTACTCTCTTTCTTGTGCTGCCTGCACCACAGGCCAGGGAAAGGGAAGAGAGCCTCAGAGAACATCTAGCACAATCCCTTGTTTCCTTGATTCCAACAACCTTCCAAGTATTCAGATTTGAGAACAGGCTTGCTGAGTACAGCCCTAGGCTTCAAGGGAGCCAGGCACTCACAGCATTTGCTCTCCTAATCCACACAACATTATAAGGTGACTGATGCCAGCCACGTTGTACAGACCTGAAGCTCAGAGAGACTACACAATTTGTCCACTGCTCCGTAGGTAGCAAGCACAACAAGGCTGCAAATCGCAACTCAGAGGCTCTTCCACACCGGAAGACTGGACATATGAGTTTTATTAAATGTTTTCCAGCTTTACTGGGCTGATACGCAGAACTAGCTGTTCTTCATTGCTCCCTACTTATAATTCCAGTTAATGGCAACACACACAGGCACACCCCCATAACCTGTGGAAGATCCAGGTGCTCTGAGAGTAAGAATGCAAAATACAGAAACACAGCCTCTGTTTCTCCTCCCTGGGTCTTCATGCATTCCCTTTATAACTGAAGAGCATTATGGAGGGGGATGCCATCAGTCAGAGTCACCATGCTCTGTCCAGAGAGAGCTACTACATCTCGAAAGCAGTTTGTGGACAGTAGTTGTATTTCCCCACGAGCACCGCACACTTGGCAAGGCTTAGCTACCTAGGAAAGCAGACACGTGGCATACGGCATGGTGCTCCTGCAGGGACGGACAGAATGCTTGCTCGCCGGGGGCAGCCAGCTCAAGTAAAGGACATGTTTAGGACATAGCTGCCCAAGATGGGGGTGGCTGCAAATAACTCTATGAGGAATATTATTTTGTTGTTAGTATCTTCCATTTATTTCCATCAGTCCACTCCACCCCACCTCCAAACAATGACCCAGAAGTCAGGACAGAAGATCAGACAGTATTCAGGGCTTTTGTAGCCCCTCTCTCGCACCCCGACCCAGCACCGTGGCCCAGGACAACTAAGGAGGCTGACTCCTTGCTCAACTCAATTTCTCTCTACTTTCCTTTGGATGGGGAGATCCAGTTTCTGGACTTTCAAAGTTGTTTCTTTTTCAGATGTTCCTCCATGAATTAGATCTACACTGAGTTGTTACTTGGCTGGATCCTGGTGAGTGTGATGAGATGAGGAAGGTAAGGAGTCTTAGGATTCAGAGAACTGGTCGCTGTTTTGGAGTTCCTAGAGTGAAGGGCTATGGAGGGAACCTCTTGGATAGCCGAGCTCTGCTGCGGGTCCCTACCATCTGAGGAAAGTACCTACCCTCATGGGGTTCACCTGTCCGGCGTGGGAGAAAAAGATGTGATCTAGAACTACTGGGGCCGGAAGTTAGACCCATTCTTCTCTGGGCTGGCATCCAGAGTGTTCTTACAGCTGTGCTAACCAGTGTGAACACAGGTGGTGAGCCTCCAGAGGCACATAAGGCAGCTAGCTCGACGACTGCTCTTTCACTGGTCTCCAGCAAAACAGGCAAAAACTACAAGCATGTGGTTAGTTTTTCATAATACTTTCACAGTATTCCATTGAAAGGACTGTCCTTTATTGTGAGATTGGGGGTTAAAAGGCCTTTCTTTTTGGAGATGCCAGAGAAAGATAGTTGTTACTTAAAACAACTTCTTTATTGAAGTATAATTGATATACAATGTTATATTAGTTTCAGGTGTACAACATAGTGATTTGACAGTTCTATACATTACTCAGTGCTCATCACCATAAATGCAGTCACCATCTGTCACCACACAATGTTACTACAATAGTATTGACTACATTCCCTTTGCCGTACTTCTCATGTCTGTGAGTTATTTATTTGAAAACTCTAAGTTTGTATCTCTTTACTATTCCCTTCACCTATTTTGCCCATCCCCCATCCACCTCTCCTCTGGCAACCAGCAATTTGTTCTCTGTATTTAAGATTCTGTTTGTTTTGATAGTTGTTACTTTATGAAGATATTCTTGCCTGGCAAAATACAGGTGGCAACCATGGGTCAGCCTCCATTTTTGCTTTAAAATTTTACACATCCATGTAATTAAGAAATCTGGTAACTACTAACCTCGGTTCTCACATCCAGACAGGAGGCCCCCCCAGCATTCCATGTACAACACGGAACATTCAGACGTTCGAAATACCCAAACTAGCGACAGATGATCACTTCCCTTTCATCACCTTCTCCTACCTGGACCAGATTTTTTGCTCTCAAAGTTCTAGCCTAGGGCTGAGTAAGGTCTAATCACTAGAGATTCAGGCTTTGGGGGAAAAGCCAGCAACTTCACAGCATGGTGGTGGTGGAAGTTTCAGTTATAATCAACACAGGGTCCCTATTACCTGTTTTCACAAAAAGGAGCAGGTACCATCCCTGCTGCATCAGAGAGAGAAAGTCCAATGAACCTAATGAATCAAATTCTGAGTTAAAGTCTTAGCTTCCAATTTACAAATTTCATAGGATTTGATTGAAAGTCTAATGCAGGGGGAAATCCCCAATAACAGTAACAAAACCAGAAATGACTATATAACACTTATAAAGCACTCACTAAAACGTGCTGGTCCTTCAGCTAAGTGCTTTCTACATATTAACGTACGTAATTCTCATCCTGCCAGGTAGGTACTATTATTGTTTCTACTTAACAGACGAAAAGTTAAGTCATTTGCCCAAGGTCATGCAGCTAAGTGGCAGAGCCAAGATCTGAACCCAGGAAGTCTCCAGAGTCCACACTCTCAACCCCTGCGCTATATAATTTTTTTTTAAATTTTTTTATTGTTATGTTAATCCCCATACATTACATTATTAGTTTTAGATATAGTGTTCCATGATTGCGCTATATAATCTTAACGCAGGACCGGAAGACTCTTCAAGCAGGGGCTGCATGAACAGCAGAGTGGGAACAGTACAAGGTTTAGTGACAAGGAGTTTAGACTGCAATCTTGCTTGTCTTGCACACCAGTTCTCTGCCCTTGAGCAAAGCAGTTACTCTCTGCATCTCACTTGCCTCAGACGTAAGGACTGGGATTATGATAGATGCTTCAAAGAACTCTATTAGGATCATTTGCAAAGCGCCGTTCACACAGCAGGCCCTTTGCTCCTCCTCTTTTCAAAGTGCCCAGAGGAGGCTGAGACACTAGACTGCAAGGATGTAGAGCGCTGTACAGCATGAGCCACTTAATCACAGAGCCTTGGGAAACAGCCAGAGTGGAAATAACCTCCCATCAGACATCTAGTCGTCAAATAAAGACTAACTGCAGACATGGTACCAGACTTTCCACGAGGTACTGGTGAGCAACGCAGCTATGGTGCCTGCCCCCAAGAAGCCCATGGTCTGCCAGGAGGGGCAGAAATGACCAGATATACAGGGTGACAAACTAGAGCAAGGAAGATTCCTACAAAGGAAAGGAATATGGTCAGTATGAATGGATAAAGCAAAGGAGCCTGTTCTAGATTGGGGGGCTGGTCAACAGAAGCTTTCTTGAGGAGATTTGGTAGAACTGAAATTTGAAAGATGAATATGGATTAAGTAGGAAATGAGAGAAAGAGAAGAGCTTTCCAGCCCGAGGGAAAGGCCCTGTGACAGGAGGAAGCACAATGTGTATGAGAAAATAGGAAAGAAAGTCAGAGGGGCTAGAACAGAAAGAACAAAGAAGAGCGAGGAATAAAGTTAGGCTGGGACAGGACCAGAGCATGGGGGGCTACGGAGTTCTATCTTTACCAAAAGGGCAATGAAAACCAATTAATGGGAACATTCAAAGATCACAACAGGTGGCGGTGAAACCAGGGTACAAGGGATGGAATACTGTCTACCTTCTGAGAATGACATCAGGAAGCATCATCCTGTCCTGCTCCCCTAATTCCACACCACACCCATTAGACCCAGGATCTAGGCCAGATAGCCTGCTAGCCAGACCCGCTGCAGGAATCCTGACATGCAGAGGACAAGAAACCACAAAGGGGCTCTCACCTGGACAACAGGAAATATGTGAATAAAATCCATGCCCTGGATCTGGTGGGGCTCCAGCTGGTGTGGACACTTCATCCTTGGCAGGACTGAGACAATTTTTTCTGATAGTGCTCTGTTTGGAAAAAACAACAAGCAAAGAGTGAGAACACACTAAGTGGCCCTTAAGACATCTCTCACGTCTGGGTAGCATTCCAGAAGACTCTGGGGCTTCTCAGTGCCAGATCATAACCAAGCTTCCCCTGGCTGTCTACAAAATGAGAAAAATAAGCACAATTTAGATGGTATGTATGCGTGCGACTGAGGCCACAATACTGCTTTCATGCTTTATTCCAGAATTTTTTTCTCCCTATCTTTTTTATGTTAAACCACACTGTTTCTTTATGAAATGGTGGTGATGTTTGAGGTAGTAATTATTACTGAACATCTTTACATGGTAAAATAGAAAGTTTTCGGTGCCCTATGTTCTTTTACATTTTGTTTTATTGACCTACTTTTTCCAAAGATCTGGGAACCACTAGGTTACACATTAAAAAAATTGTTCTAAATATCATTCAGGCAACAAATAATTACCAGGCCCCATGCCGGGTGCCCAGAATATTAAGACAAAACATGGGGCCTTATACTTAAAAAAAAAAAAAGAAAATGGAGTTCTTCACTGTCGTATAAAAGTATTTTTAAAATAAAAAATAGCCTTTCATTTTTTTAATACTTTAAAATTAATCCTAGATTTGGGGAAACCACGTCCTTGTTCTTTTTTTCCAGAGAGCAGAACTTTTTTGCTTCTCACGAGGGGCACTCTGATGTCTCTCCAACACCTTGCTTCAGTCCTAGGAAACATCGGGGAGTTGGCGGGGGGGGGAGAACGGGGCTCCCTGAGACCCCAGAGCATCCTTCTAGCTCAGTCAGGAGGCCAGCATCCTCCCCCTGCTCCCGCCTGGACCTGGGTGGGGCACTTATATGGCTGGAGTGATAGAGAGATCTGTGTGCAAGTCCACCCCACGGCAGACTTCAGTTTCCTTCTCTACTCAGCTGATGTTTAATCTCCAGATGTCGGGTTCCTGTTTCTTACATCTTAATTGGATCAGACTCAAGAGCAGAGAGCAGAGGTTATTTAGTGGGTCTGCCTTGAGAAACAGTTGCGAGGCATGTCCTTATGGGGCCATATGGAGAAATGGGAGCCTATGCTTCAGCTTACATGGATAGTTTAGGTTATAATCCCACCTAAAACCCTTAAAAAAAAAAATCTTAGCCGGTTACAGCAGCTACAGTGGCTTTCTTTGCAAGTGAGGACTATTTCCCCAGGTCTTACAAGAAACTTCAAATTCAGCAAGTCTGGGTCTACCCAAAGTGTTCCTTGCTCAAAGAAACTTTTATCTTTCTGCAGCTCCATAATCCTTCCCAAGAGACACACACCCTTAAGACCAACATCTAACAAAGGCCTGGATGACAGCAATTATTGTCCTACCTATGCTGCCCTTAGTAGGTTCCATCCCCTTGGTCTTGGTGGGAACTAAGTAAAATTTAGGGAGAAAAGCTAAACGGCTCCCCAAGGAATGGTCCCTAGAGAATACACAAGAAAACTGTTTATTCCCGGAAAGTAGCTTTACATGGTGGCACCAAGGTTAAAACTGCTAAGAGAAGTAGTCACACCTACAGCTCCACGGATCATAATATCAACGTCAAGTCCAATATGTTAAGAGAAAAAAAATATGGACAGGGGAAAATGGATACCCCACTGCATACATTCCCAGGAGGGAAGCCTATGGGAGAACATTTTCACCCCCAACAGAGGGAGTGCATATGTGAATTATCCAAAAGGTCTGAGACATGGAAGGAAACTGTCCTATGACGCTCAGCCACTACTGTAGTCTCTCCTTTCTGAGCAGCCTGTCTTTAGGACACATGCATCTTTTTTGTCATGAGATGTGTGGCTGGCCCAGTGGGGAAGCCTATGGCTGTCCAACTGTTGCTGGGGCTCAAATGGGATAGTTTGGTGGGCAAGTATTAATGAACCCAATTGGCAGGATATTTAAGGCCCTCTCTATAACACACTTTATTTTTTATTTTAATCTCCATCAGACTCTCATGCCTTGTTTAATTTCTCTGAAACTCGTGAGGGGAAGAGACTGGTGCTTAGTTGGCCTTGTTCCCTAAACTCCAAGCTTAGCAAATGAAGATGACCCTGACTTGGCATCCTTGGTCAGGGCAGGTATTAACTATTGATAGACATGGGGCCTTTCTGCTCAGTTATATTTGGGTTCAGTGGGAGGAAAGCTCCCCCTAGTGGCTACAGATCCGAGTCTGCATAGGGTTACTGGTTGCATGGGCAACTGAAGTAGCTTAAAAATAAGAGTCTCGGACCCCCAACACTATCTAGCCCAACCCTCTCTACCTTCAGACCAAGTTGTTTCTGGCCACTGATCAGAGACTGACTACCTTCCCAGGTCATAAGGGCCCTGAAGGATGCCCTGGGTCACCTCCGGGTTTATAAGCCTCTTAAACCTGCCTCCCAGAAATCACTGCCAAGACTGAGGTCTTACTCGGCAACATATGGAAGCAGCTGGAGGCACAAACATTGCTGGACCAAGGGAGGGACGTGGGGGAGACACAGGCAGGCTGGGGATAGGCAGAAAAAGTCAGGAGGACTTCTTGTAGAAGCCCACCAGCCCATTTCTCCCTGGAGCTCAGGGTACTCTCTGACTTTCTGAAAATCTGGGTAAGTGACAAATGCAGAGGTCCCCAGTCAGGTTTCCTAGCCTAAGATTTGAACAATGCCCACTTGTTACTACAGGTGATTGGTTGGATTCCTTCAGCTTTTAAGAGTGTTCAGTACACTGTTTCCTCCTCCACTGCAAACAGTTTGAAAGAGAGTGAATTAAACCAGGCTCTAAATTACAGCTCCATCACTGGCTCTGGGACTTTTGGCAAGTCACCTGATCCCACTGGTCCAATACTCCCATCATAAAACAAGGAATAATGCCTGTCCTACCTATTCAAATTTACTGTGAAGATGAAATAGTAAAATGCATGCACAAGTGCTCTGCACACAGGTGCCTCCTACTTGTGTGTTACTGAACTCAATTAGAAGCCTAAAATCTCATGACCTCTGGGCATAGGACTCTGCAGTCATGGGGCTTTAGGACAGGCTGGGAGGGTAGAAGGAGGATACAGACAGAAGGCAGAAGCTCTTGAAACCCTCAAGAAAAAAGGATCAACAAGAACAGAAAGGCCTCAATTGGGCACACACAGAAAACAGCCTGAGGGCGCCTGGGTGGCTCAGTTGGTTAAGCGACTGCCTTCGGCTCAGGTCATGATCCTGGAGTCCCGGGATGGGGTCCCGCATCGGGCTCCCTGCTCGGCGGGGAGTCTGCTTCTCCCTCTCACCCTCCCCCCTCTCATGCTCTCTTTCTCTATCTCATTCTCTCTCAAATAAATAAATACAATCTTTAAAAAAACAAAAACAAAACAAAAAAAAAAAACAGCCTGAAAGATAATGATGCCCTCAAGAGGCAAGTGCACTCCTCAGACAGTGCTACCTGCCCCACCCCCCATCATATCAGCTGGGACATACTGAGGCACTGCAAACGTAAGGCAGTATTAGTCTAAATTGCACCTAACCAGAACATACTACAAAACCAAACAGAAAAGATTTCTGAATAATTCAGTACATTGCTAGGAGTCTTGGTGGATCTTCAGTCCTGTAAACCGCAGTCTCCAGCTTTGCCCACAATTACAGTTCATGGCTCTGCACTTAAAAGCACATCAAGTACTTACCAGAGAACATAATACTGTATATTCTCAACCCCTTATCCAAACCCTTTGGGGCCACATGTGTTTCAGAATTCAGAACTTTTTAGATGTTTGCACATTCCTGTACCTAAGAGGCATATACTGTATATTATGTAGAGCCCAAGTGAAATCTAGAGTAAATCATATA